CCGGAGCCGGCCCGCGCCGCCACCGGCTTCCTCTTCCTCGCTCGCTTCTTCAGCCGCTACAGACTCCGGCAGCTCCTCTTCCTCGACGCCCTCCGCGACGACTCCCTCTTCGTCCGCCGCCGCTACGCCGCCGAGCTCGACAAGGCCTTCCGCCGCCTCTCCCTCATCCTCTTCCCGGCCTTCTTCGTCGAGCTCGCCCACAAGATCATCTTCTTCTCCTCCGTCACCCTCTCCCTGCCCTTCCTCCCCCCAAACGGCGTCGTTCCAGTCAACTCTATCCTCTTCTTGCTTGTCCTCGCATCGTGGGTTTATCGGAGCGGCGTTTTCTTGCTGGTTTGCGTCATGTTTAGGCTGACTTGTGAGCTCCAGATTCTTCGGTTCGAAGGGTTTCAGAAGATGTTCGAAGGGGTCGAGTCGAACTGTGAGATGATGTTTAAAGAACACGTGAGGATTAGGAAACAGTTGTGGGTTACGAGTCATAGGTATAGGTTTTTCATTATTGGATGTTTGGTGGTTATTACTGTTAGTCAGTTTGGAGCTCTTTTGCTGGTTTTTGCCTCCAAGACCGAGAAGAACTTCCTAAATTCCGGTGATCTTGTGGTGAGTACGTACAATATATATATATACACACATATATATATATATATGTATATAATTACATAAAAGATTATATGTTCATACATAATTTGCTATGCATTATATGATAAAATATGATTAAAAAAAGAATTTATTTGAGGTACTATTTAAGGGTTGTTTGGTAGCATTTTGGAACGTTTTCTCACATTATCTTATTCTCAATATGTATATATAAGTTAGAAATGATTATGAAATCTCGTTTGATTCCATTTTTTATTGAAAAGAAAAATTATTTTTATATTTGTTAAGAAAAAGATAAATAGTACTGTTTTTCCTTTTTCGTTTTTATTTATTTTGAAAAACATAATCAAACATTGATTTACTTTTTAGTTAAATTCAAAAGAATCTCGTTAGAAAAATAATCAAACACTACCATTTTCAAAAAAATTTCCATTTTCATTTTCATACTAATAAAACAATATTGTAGAAACGCTCCAAAATGCACCCTGAGTATCATGTTGTATTTTAATACGTTATATTTGTGATCATAATCAACAATTTTAGCAAGGGGCTTGAATTGAACTTTTTTCTTTTCTTTTTGGGGGGTGTTATATACTTGTATTTGATCATGATTCACTAAGATTAATTGTTTCTTGTTGTTGAAATGGATCGATTGTATGAAATAGGTATGTTCGGTGGTGGAGATTAGTGGGTTCTTCTTGTGTCTAGTTGGGGCAGCAAGAATCACACACAGAGCCCAAAGAATCGTGTCCATTGCAACAAGGTGGCACATGCTAGTGACTTGTGCATCTGCTGGGCCAGACCAATCCAAAGCCCATATTCATGACGCTAACAATGACCAATGCTGTGGCGATATCAGTGATTCTGACTCGGACAATTTTATTTCGGCTTCACCACAGGATCCTTCCTCCTTCCAAACTAGGCAAGCCTTAGGTCAGTACTACAGTTAAAAATTTTCCTAAACATAACAATTTTATTTTATTTAAGAGTTCTTTAATAATTATACATAAGAAGGAAAAAGTTTAAAACTTAAGGAAATAGTAGAAAATAGGCCAATATGAAAAGCTTAAGAAAGTATATAGGCTAATTTTTAATTATATAAATTAATAGGCCATAACTTGTCAAGTTATGATTCATAATCAGATAAGTTATGGACAAACTTGTCAAGTTATGGTTCATAGCCAGACAAGTTATGGATAATTATGGACAATAAATTGTCAAGTTATGGTTCATAACCAGACAAGTTATGGACCAAAACAGTAATTTGGCCTATTTATTAACTTATGTAAACTATTGACCTATTAATTTTAATTCATCTCAAGTCTTAACATATTTTCTCTTTCTTCCTAAAACTTATATCTAGAGCTACAAGTACGGGTTGGGCTAAACAGACCCCCGGTCTGGCTAGTTTGCATTGAGCCATGGACCGAGATTATAAGGCCGAAAGTCTATTTGGGTAAAGGCTAGATAGCCCGAATTTATAGCTTTACTTATATCTATTTTGTCACGATTTTATGTAGACATATTATTTATGTCATTATAAATAATTGGGTATAATCACGTTTTTTTTTAATAATTGAATGATAATTATTTATTTTTTAATAAAGTGACATAAATAATTTTTTTTATCAAGCCGTGGGTTAGGAATTAGAATTCACGCGACCTAATTAGTTGTTGTAGCGGCAAAAATGATTTTTCAAGATAAGAAAATGGACTTATTATATTTGGTATGTTATTGCAGTGGCCTATTTACAACACAATAATGGAGGGATCACCCTTTTCGGGTTTGCGCTGGATCGCGGACTGCTTCACACACTATTTGCCTTTGAGTTCTCTCTTGTTTTGTGGATTCTTAGTAAAGTGGTGGTTTTGTCTTGAGCAGTTGCTGAATCCGTCTTTGTGTGAGGTCATATCCATTCATGAATATTAGAAATTAGAATGGCTAGCCAGCTGGAAAAATGATATTCATGGTGCTAAATAGCTTGTTGTATACATATCTAAGAATTTTCAGGCCAATATTTTGCTACTTACATTGTGAAAAGAGAGCCAATAAATTATTTTTATTACCATTTTTAGCTTTTAATATATATAAATAAAATTAGCAAGCAAAATGTTATATATTCAAGTCATCAAGCTCCGGTGTTCTACCATGGAAGTAGGAAATTATTCAAAATCCACTGTGAACTTTCAAGTTGGGAGCTAGAAGCTAGCTAGCTTTGTCAAAAGTTTTTAGACCTTAAAAAAAAAAAAGCAAAAAATTAAACATGTTAATCCTTTTTCTGGAATAAAAAGTTTTTGCAGGGTCAGGTGAAACTAGTAACCGAAGCATCTTATTATAAAGCTGGCCAAACAAAATCTTCACTTTTCTGCATTAGACTAGACTATAGAGCATCTTATAAAGTAATACAGATAATATTTAACGTAACATAACAATTATTTAACGTAACATGATAATTATTTAACATAACACGAATATTAGAAAAATGTAACACTAAAAAATTTAACTATGTCATAGTACTACTGCTCCACTTTAATGTAGTTACTCAACAGTCAACATAATACAGATATTAGAAATGTGTAATAATCGGAGATAATTAAATAACTTAATAGACACATTTTAACGACAATATTATATTAAATTAGTGTTATATTATGTTTTCATTTCGACATGTTACGTCCAATGGACCATTTCATCGGGTATCGTAAACAAACTTTTACTATATATAAACTATATCCTTCAGTGGGGGAAAAAAAAAAAAAAAAAAAAAAAAACAGATCAACTAGAGTTGTTATGACTTATACAAGTCGTGCAATTATCTGGGTTCCAAAAAAAAAAGATTTTGATCAACCGAATATTCGCACCTTGAGAGGCAAATTAAATTGACTGCAACTTCCCCTGTCTTCTCCTAAATGCTTGTTTACAAATAAATAAAACGGTACGCACTAAAATAGTAGGGAAATCGTTCATTTCATTGATACAAGTTTAGAATTTGAGTTTTGCTACAGTAAAAAGTTTTAAAAAATAGTCACATTTAAAATTTTTGCTACAGTAAAAAATTCTCACATAAAGTCACATCTCAACTCGAATTAAAACTTGATATCAGCGAACTAAACGGACCGGAAGACTTAAAATGTTTAGAGGTGATCCATGTATACAATAAATTAATAATGTTTTTGGTCAAGGCAAAAAAAAAGTGTACATTTGAAGCGCTAAAAATGGTAGGAGGGGTGACATAGGATAAAGCAATATTATTTGGTTAGAAAGGGATAAATTTCAATATCTTTTAGCATATATCCGAGAATATAGAATTATACTTTTACAATTTAATTAATAATGGAAATTCAAAATTGTGATGCTACGTGAAGCACGATGTCTTGTAATTTTCTATTTTCATTAGGGAATAGCATGCATGCCTGTATGTGGAGACTCGATGCTTATCCAAATAAATAAATTAAGTTTAGCAGAATATTTGACCTCAGGTTTTCAACAATAAATCAGTACAGCATATTCCGGTTAACCTTATACTAATCTATATTTTAAATTCATAATTTAACTTATATACGTTCTCAATTTACTCAATGGGTACGTTAAGCGTAACATATGTATACTCTTAAGGTTTGTTTAGTTCGCTGATTTGAGTTGAAATGTGACTTTATGTGAGAACTTTTTACTATAGCAAAAAAATTAGATGTGATTGTTTCTTAGAGCTTTTTACTGTAACAAAACTCAAATTCTAAACTCGAATCGGTGAAGTGAACGAGACCTAATAAATTCACCAAAGAAAAAGAATAGACGACGCCAAGACAGGGTATACGTAAATTTTGAACATAGTAATATATACGGAGTTATTCAGTGCGTATATATGTGTGGAGGAGTTACATTTTTATGATGATTATTTACCGATCGAAATTTAATGATATGACGTGATCAAAAATTTAATTTAATTAATTATTATAATTTTTTTATTAAATACTAAATTTATTATAATCATTAGATTAATATGTTACGGTTAAAATAAAAATATCTACTGATAAATAAATATTGAGATCGATAAATATATTTAATGGTCCATTTTAATTTTATCAAAAGTTAAAAGAACAAAAAATAAAGAAGAAAAAAACACAAAAAATTAATGTAATTTGACAATATATCCACTTTCATAGATTAGGGGAAAAAAAGTATTAAGAATGAGATTCATATAAATACAAGTTATCGTTGTAAAATTGTAAAAGCTATCTAAACTATGAAATCTAGAAATTTCCTAATATATAAAATAAATACAAATAAAAATAACAATTTATAAACTGTTAACTTGTTCTAATAATTTTTTTTGGCAAAATTAAGCATTATCTTTTCTATTAAAAAGTTAAGGGACAGTGCAAATTACTTCAGAAATTAATTACTAATTTTAAAGTCGTGATACTTGTTACAAGCTGCAGTAGTGCTAACTCTTTCAAGTACTACCGAACAAATTTCGCCGTTGACCAACACAAAAGAATATGCCCAAAATAATATTAATAAACTTTTGTTTATATATATATATATATATAATAATAGACAATTTGATCGGTTTACCCAATTACCAACCACACTATATAATAGTGACACTAGAACATGCCTTCCTGCTCTAATCTCTCTCTCTGATCTCCCTCTCTCCTTACACAAAATGGACTCCTCCGATAACTCATCTCTAAATGACTCAAGGCACTTCCTCTTAAGCATTGAAGTGATGGTAAGCTTCATATTTTTCATTGCCATCATGACACTCATTGCCTACTGCGTCTCCCTCTGCCGGACCCGGCGCCTCCCGGGTGTGCTACCCCATCATGACACTCCCTATGAGCACTCGTTCCACGTCGAATCGGGTCTCAATGAGGCCACTCTCGGGGCCTTTCCCAAGCTTCTTTATTCCAACGCCAAAGCCAGTTCTAAGCTCTCCAGCTTTGATGGCGGCAAATATTATTCGTCCGCTTTGTCATGCTCGGTGTGTTTGGCCGATTATAGTGAAAGCGACGTGCTCCGATTGTTGCCTAATTGTGGCCACGTTTTTCATCTCAAGTGCGTCGATTCGTGGCTCCGCCTTCATCCCACTTGTCCCATATGTCGCAAGCTCCCAAGCACTCCTACTAGTCCTGAATCATGTAAAATATCGACCCGGGTTTAATTAAGAAACCACAACTAATAGAAAGTGTGTTTCATCTGTGTAAGTCTCATGTTCTTGGCACCTTACTCTTCAATCCATCATTTAGTCACCACTGGCAGACTAGTCTGTCCACTCTGTCCACCACAGCATAGGTCGGTTATTCAACTGAAACGTAAACAACCTTTGACTTAACTCTCACCCAACGGAGTTGCTAAAAAAGCCATGGGTTTCAAATACTCAACTTTGAAATTTAGTTTGAGGCAAACGTGGTTATATAATTTTTTTTTTCTTTTCATTTTTGATATAATGCGGGATTGAACAAATGCCCCGAAACATAAGTCCATCTCGCTCTATCCGCCCTACTTTTAAGATAAAAATTATTTAAATCAATTTGTTAAGCTATTTTTAGAATTGATGCTAAATAATTTTTCCAAAGTCAACTACTAGTTGACACACATAATCCAGCAAATGATCCCTACGGCTGATCAAGAATCCTGATATCAAACACAACCAAGGAAGTGCTACGCACCACTTAACAAATAACAGCTCTCTAGAGCTACATCAAAACTCACTTAAACAATCGCAAACCAACCTTACATCACCACCATCCACCGCCCAAATTTTCTCTGATCATGATCAAATGATGATCAAGAACATCATCGGACATGGAGGACTCGTCAGGCAAAACGGCGTCGTCGCACCTCCACGTCAGCGTAGTGGTGGCGGTGAGCATTTTATTTCTGATCATAACACTGACGATCGCATCGTACTGCAGCACTCGCAGCCGTCAGATGCGCCTCCGCAGCGATCAATATCCCACCATCGAAGGCGGCCCGGTCTCGAGTACGGTGGTTGTTATGGAGGAGGCGGTTCTGGAGAGATTCCCGAAGGTTCTCTATTCAGAAGCAAAGCTGATCAGAAACGAATTAGGAAATAACAATTACAGCACGTGCTCGGTGTGTTTAGGGGATTATAGAGAGAGCGATGAGGTGAGAATATTGTTGCCTGGTTGTGGCCATGCTTTTCATCTCAACTGCGTCGATTCCTGGCTTCGCCTCCGTCCTACGTGTCCCTTGTGCCGTCATCAGCTCCATTCTTTGTCTACATCCCCCATCTAACTTATCTTTTCAACAAGTACGTAGTTGTGTATGTATATATGTATCTATCAACGTGCGTGTGCCGATATTATAGCTAATTATCTGGAACTTGTTATGTGAATTTGTTTGGATCTTGAAGGGTTAATGAGAATTGATAATATATTGTGTTTACTTCTTCTATGATAGAATCTCATGCATGTTTCTGGTCAAAAATCATACCAAAATCAAGAGTATATGTAGAAGACATTGTTTCTCCGACAAATATAGCGGCAGAATAGAGATCTACCCTTTTCAAGCCTTACCATGAAAATCTCCTTAAAGAATTCTTGTCATTTTTGTTTCTTTTCCTAAAAGGGTATTTTTTTTATAGCACTAAACGAGATATTTCAAAAATAACTCTGTTTTTTATTACTTTTTACGTTTTTTTTTCTTTATTTAATTTTAATCTCTTCGGAGTTATTTATCTATACCTCAATTGTTCCGGAGATTTTTTTTTTCTTTCTGTTATTTTTATTATTTTTTCTTTAAACTAGGTTGGAGAATTCCAACTATTAACCTCAATATTGAAGGAGGTAAAAGTGTGAAATTATTATTAGGTTATGTATCCAAGGCTCCAACCATCTGGTGATATTAATTCCCCTTATTTTGAATGTAATATTAATACTTTGCTTTGCGCTTCTACTGCACAAATTGTTTCTTATTAACAATTTGTTTTGACAAGTTGGATATACATATAACATTCAAACATATAAACCATATTGTTAATTACGAGCTTAATACGATGACGATTCTATAACTACCACCTCTAATATAAGATCTTAACTTCAAATCCTCCACCTTAAATTTAAAAGAAAAGGAGAAGCCAAGGAAAATCGTTTAAGCAGGATGGAAGATCATGGTAGTAGAAAGCCGATTAAAATTTACATTAGGATTTCAAAGGAGACTACAGCACCGATCTGTTAACAAGACCAACCAAGGTGATCATATTGTGTTAGCTTTACTACAAAATAGGTCATTCATATTCTTGGACAAAGAGCACAGAGCTGGTCAAGAGTTTTTACTATGTCCCCAAGGCACGCAATAAGCTTATCTCCTTGATGTCTAACAAATTCAGCGGATTCAGTTTGAAGATCGTGATCAGCACTTACCGCGTTTTCAGCCTCAAAGCCTGCATCCTCAGCAACAATGGAACTGATCCTTTTAGCATTTTCACGCAATATTAGAGCAAACATTTTCTCCTTGTCGTCAATACTGATTGTCTCTTCCTTGACATGGTCGACATCACCTATTTGACGCCTTTGAACCTTTTCTTCTTCCAGAACGGGGTTTCTCACAGGATTTTCTTCAATCATTTGCTCCTTATCTTCAATACCAATGGTCTTCTTTTCTTCAACATGGCCTTTTCGTGGCATCTTCTTTGAACTTCTCTGCTGAGATTTTTCTTCTACGAGAGTGGGGTTTCTCACAGGCTTTTCTTCAATCATTTGCTCCTTTTCCTCAATACTGACGGTCTCTTTTTCTTCAACATGGGCTTTTCGAGTCATCTTCCTTGCACTTCTCAGTTGAGGCGTTTCTTCATTGAGTTCAGGTTTTCTCACAGGTTTTTCTTCCAGGGATCTTTGCATAGGATTCTTTTCCGCCTGGGATCTGGGAGGTTTTCCTTTTGTGCAGCTCTTTGAAGGCTTTTCATTTGCAAAAGACTCTGATAGATCTTCTTCTGCAAGGTTTTTCCATGAACGTTTTTCTTGAGATGTTGACTGCTGCCTTTTTCTCTTCGACCCTAATGACAGAATCACCAAGACAAAGGTACACCACGTGATAACTAATTAGAACTGGAATAGAACTGGAACAGTAAGAAAAAACTTACATAACAACGCTGCTAATAGCATCACGGATGAGACAACTCGCATAAAGTTGTGCAACATCTCCCTGTCGTCACTTGAAATTTAGTGCAACTAATGCAGTTCACTAATCAATTATAACCAAATTTAAATCTACCAATCAGGAATCTACCTTAAGGTACCCCACCATTCTAAAATCAGAAAGATTATATCCATGATACATATAAGCTCTGCTGTTTTAAGATTCACACAAGTTTCTTATGTGTTTCATATGCACCACTGTTGGGGCATATTTCTACTGTGTTCCATACCTAATCATCTAATTTGGAAATATATAGACATAAAGATATACTGTTCCTCAAGAATAATCATAAGGAAGCATCCTTATAAACCTATGCTCTTTAGCTGTGATTTGCTCCTTCGATGCCATGTAATTATCAGCAATAAAACAGTTATGCTCAGCTCTACGTCGCATAACAGCATGACTCTATACAATATCTCAAAGGCTAAACTTGCTAACCACTTCAATTGTGATGATCTCCGCAGAAGATGAGTTCCTGTTAATAATGTTCTTTATGATGCAAACCTTCTCTTCAGCCAGCAGTTCAATCAAAACAGAACAATAGGAGTCATTGACGAATATACAGACAGGCACAGCTGGCAGATCAAAAGAGAGAATAAGGAGTGTGAGGATCTGATATGAGGCAGGCGGCTAGGGTCTTTTAAGTACGGTTATATACTGGAGATTGGAGAGAAAGGGGGGGCGGTGGCCCTAGGTTTCAAATGGTAAATAGTAAATAAGTTAGCTTTCAAATGGTAAGTAAGTTATATAAATATGTTCTGAAAAAAACTGCTAAGTGAGGTCTGCATCTGAGTCGGGGTCATGCAGGTTATCTGATTCTAAGACTTCAATCACAATGCCTTAAAAATAAGGAATCCTAAAGTCACTCTTCAAGAAGGAGCACTGTATCTGAGTCGGGGTCATGCAGGTTATCTGATTCTAAGACTTCAATCACAAGCTCGTATGCCTTAAAAATAAGGAATCCTAAAGTCACTCTTCAAGAAGGAGCACTGCAAAGTGCAATCCTAGCAAAATCTTCTTCAGTAGCTCGCATGGAGAAAATGTCGATGAGTTCTAATAAGTGCACATAGATTGCATATTTGCATGTTAAAAAGTCAATGATCCAGACGTTCTATTGCAATTACAGTGTCCTGCTTCCATCAGCACTGAAATTTGCTCTTTTTCCGTTTTAGGCCACTCCATATCATTTTTGAGGTAAACCAATGATACTAAATTGGTCATAAACCGGTTTTCTTTTAGGCCTATTTCTGCTCGATTACCTCACAACAAAAAAAAAAAAATCTCTTTTATACCTCTGAATTCTCATCACCTCGCATGTAAAACACACAAAGATTGCATTGGACAGGAGACAAAGAAGAACAAATTATCCACTAAACAGAATTCCAATTCGAAACTTTTCCAATAAATAAATAAATAAAGCAGCAATAAAACTAGAATCTCCTACTTTCCATTTTCGTAAAAGATCTCATCAATGCCTAAATATCAACATCATTCCATTTCCGAATTGAGAGATCACACTTAAAAAGTGCAACCTTATTTGACATAAGAAGCAATCAAAGATTCAAAACTCATCAGATTAATCGAAATCCTCTAAAAAAACGATAAATCACAATAGAACTTAAAGAACCATACCTAATTCCTTAGCAACATCGATTGTCTCTTCCTTCGCTTCTCCATCACTCTCCTGCTCCGTATCCGAGTGATTCTCCCGAGCCCTAACAAGATTACCAATCGCCGCGAACAGCTCCTCGTCGAAGCTCCTCGGAAGCCCTAATTCTTCTCTCCTATCGGTCTTCATCGCCCAATACGAGTCTCTCCTGGACTTCAACTCCCACCGCTTGATGCTATTGTAGTCCTGAAGCAGAGAGTCCCACTTCCTCCGGTACTGGTTCAAACTCCGAGACACGTCCTGGGCGGCGCAGTTCTCGGCTATGATCTTCCACTTCTGATACGACGAGAGCGCTTTCAGGCAATCGGCTTCCACGGCGGCGATCTCGTTGACGAGGATGAGCTCGTCCATGGCGGACCAGTCCGGCGCCGCCTGAGACCGCGTTCGCCTCGAGCCCGAAGCGCTCCGCGACTGGCCTATGTCTTCGTCGGCCATATCTATGGAGGATTTTGGAGCTCGATGAGAAGAATCTATAGAGATTTTTGGGAAATTAGCTAAGACATTGGTTTTGTGTTTCGTTGTCGTTGTCGACTTCTTTACTTCAGGTGATTTTTAATTTTAGGACAATCAGCTCCATTTTTGGACATTCGTTGTCGTTTCATTTGACTCGGATGCTACGTGCATGAAATCATTGTCGTTTCTTTTTACCAAAAAAAAAGTTATTGTCGTTTTCTTTCTTCGTTGCTTATCGTTAATAGAGCATCTAGTGTGAATGTCAAATTGAGTAGGAAAATTACTATCCGACAATTTTTTTATATTAAATTTTACATATATTATATTTGATGGCCATTTGATGTTAAATGTCATCTACATCAAATTTTAGTATTTGATCATTGTTGGTTAATTTATTAGCCTTTATTATTTAACAGCTTGATCATTTTTCAATTATTGTAAAACTAAAATTTAAGTTTCATAACTTAATAAAAGCTTTAATGTTATGACAAAATGTAAATAAACATTCAAAATAAAACTACGCATTTGAGCACAAATTAAAATAACATATTAAATATGTTATTTTTACAATTTTTTCCGTCAAATATAGTATCAACTCTGAAATATGCAATGAAGACAATCGAAATATAGAAAACAACATAATTCGTGTCACACTTTCGGTTATTTAGTGGGATGATAGAGACTGCTCATTTTAATTGATAAAGTCTTGAGTTCCACTTAGGAGACGTTTGGTTCGTGGATTATAATCATTTTCGATTTACGTGTATTTTTTGTGAGAGAAAATACTGTAGCGAACTATAAACCATGATTCAAATCATAGTTTGAATCCTCTAACCAAACACCCCTTTAATCTTACTACGATATGCGGAGTAAGGTGCTAAAATGTTTTTCTAATGTGAAACAAGAGAAACTTAAATCATGGTATTTGTAGATTTAAGGAAAAAAACCACGGAGGATTATTGTTTATTTAAGGAAAACAACCACGGAGGATTAGTGGCGACTAAATTGTGTACATTGAGAAATGTTTCTCTCAAAGTATGGAAACCACGACCATCATAACACGTTGCTTGCTTGATTGAATTTTCTATCTAATGGATGATAGAAGTCTTACTTGATTTTTTTTATTATAATTTTTTTATAATTTTTGTCTTAGTTGTTAGTTGGACGTGTCAATTTGATTGTAACTTGCCTAAACTATCTTTGTATATATCTTATTTATTGACAGAAAAAATTTAGAAAATTCGTTTTTGTAATCACCTTACTAAAATAAAAAACCTGAATCCAAACATTAAAAAGCTTGCGTTAAGTACAATGTTATATTTGGTGTAACGTTTAAGTTATTGAAATCAATATAAGGGATTTTGAGGGTAAGTCTTGAGTGCTATGTCCAAGCGTGTTGGTTCTTTCTCTTAGTTATTAGAGAAGAGCTTCGTTTTGTACTTAATTGCGACTTAGTGCGTACTTTTAGTGTAAGTGATTGTTTAAAGACTATTGATGCTCCTAATTGTCTAAATCAATTAACTGCCCAGAGTCATAAATCAAAAACTATAATGGATTGAACTTTCATCTTAAAAACCAGCAATCTAGTACTGTACTCTGAGTAATTTCGTGACATTGTAATTCTTAATCGCATAACAGAATTGTACTAATTTTAAATCTTAAAATTAATAAAAATATAAACTTGACTTGATTAGCATAAATTTCTCACAAAATAACATAATAGTCGACAGTGTCGATTCCCGTGTTCAGTTAGCGTTTTTATCAAAAAAAACACCACCCGCGTAACTCCGATTTCACTATCTGGCAATTAAAGACTTCTTAAGTGTTAGAGTGAATCTCAATACACTGCTAGCACCAGTGAATCTCAATACACTGCTAGCACCGTACTGATCTTGAAAATTCTTATAATCAAAATTCTCGAGTCTTTGATGGATTGATAGTTCTTTCATCTTAAATCGTGGTAACCAAATCATTTCAATCATAAAATTATCTTTAAGTTAAAATTTCATATAGATTTCTTTTTTTTTGGAATATTAATAATTCCGTAAATCCTTAAATCATAAGGCATGATATTTTCTAAGAAAATTTTTAACTTAATTACTTAAATTACATTATTTAGTTGCAGAATTTTCTCGATCATTACAGTAGAGTGTGCGGAGAGAAAAAAAAAACCTTCTATCATTATTTTTCCTTTTGTAATAAAATATAATTATATAATGTCTATTGTTTTCTTTCGTCATTTTATTTGAAAGTCTTTTTATAATACAAAGTTTTTAATTTAAGTGGACGTAAAGAGTATAAAAAATGTATGCATAGAACTACCCATTCAGAAAACATCAATAAAATTAAGTTAAGTCAAAATTAGTATTTAGTGAACAATTATTGGAGATGTGCTGAAAAGTTGATGGCTTCTGTTTAGTGAATATGCTTATGTGCACAGCATATAAAGTCAAAAATTTTAGGCAACTAATAAATAATAAGTGAGAAAATCAAAGATTTTAGGCCGAAGAATAAATAATGTCGGAAAATATAGGTAAGCGTTATTAATAGGAGAACTTTAAAGAACACAATTCTGAATCATTTGTTTTTGTTACTTTCGTTAAATTAATATATTTTGTTAATCTGATATCAACATTTTTGCTAGTTATTAGATTACAGTGGCATGATATGCCAAATTATACATGGATCATGCTCGTCAGTTGTTAGACGACACAATTATGCCTCTTTTGCATCATTTCCACAAATGTTTTTCACGTTCCATCATAAAACTATTTTTTTCCTAAATAACATTTATTTAGCATGTATTTTCAAAAATGACTCAAATAGTTTAGAAAACGTCTCTTTTTTTCTTTTTTTTTGAAAGAAATTGAGAATGTAAAACTTTTTTTTTTATTTTTTAGAATTCTGTTTCTTTTTTGGGTCCTTCTACATAGGAGCTTTGTTTTGCACTTAATTGCAACTTAGTGCCTACTTTTAGTGTAAGTGATTGTTTAAAGACTATTGACGCTCTTAATTGTCCAAATCAATTAACTGTCGAGAGTCATAAATAAAAAATTATAAAAGATAGAACTTTTATCTTAAAAGGTCAATAGTTGGATTTCTATCTTAAAAGATCTACTTGTTATAAAGTGGTTCAATATTTTTATATATTTATATTTATATTTAGATGATATGAGACTCTGATAATTTACCTTTAACATTTTTTATCTTCTCTTATCAATGGTTGTTCTTATTTAGTTCCCGAAATAAAGCAGCCTGTGAACTAGTAAGTTAGCTTTATTTGTTGGGAAAGAAATACTGTTTTAGGTAGCTAACTATCCTTAATGTATCTGTTCTATTCTATTCAATAGCTAGATGCTACAAATTCACCTTTTAAAAAAAAAAATATCACACGTTCCGACATGATAGAATATCCCATTCTTTGGATATATCAAATGATACAAAAAAAATGTAGACGATATTAGTTGTACGGTTTAAGATAAGATTTACCAACGGATACTTAGTCTAATACCATATCTAATCTAGTACACCAAACGTACAAAAAAAATCCCTTGTCACCTTCGTCCGTAGAGAAAGGCTTCAAAATAATCTTATCTTCTGAATTTATTTCTATTTAATATTCATGTTCACTCCTTTCTCTATTCTCTATTTCATCTTCTCACTAATACGGGAATTTTGGACGGACCGCTCGCGACCACCTGAAAAAACTTGAAGTTGAGCCCGACACCTGAACCTGCCTGCCTGAAATTTTCGGGCCGCCCGCCCGAGCCCGAGGAGGCCCATGGATGGGCTGCGGGCCTGGTTTTGGCTGCCCGAGCCCACTCGAGTGCCTGAAAAAAAAAATATTTTATTATATTTTTAAAATTTTATAATATTATATATATATATATTATAAAATTTAAAGAATTGAGAGAAATTGAGAGAGATTGAGAAAAATTGAGAAAGATTGAGAGAGTTTAGGTAAGAAAAATATTTGGGGATGAGGGGTATTTATAGGGAAATTTTTGGGTTAAAGAATTAATTTTTTCCCCCAAATTCAAATCCAACGGTTATTTTTGGTCTCAGCGGGTCAGGTTCGGGTCGAAAATCGGGCAACTATCAAAAAAAGAGCCGCTGGTGGTCGAGCTTTCGGATTGTGGTTCGGGTCGGGTGCCAACGGTCAAAACACTAGCCGTTGATTGGGCTTCGGGCAATTCGGGCCGGAGGGAAAATATACAAAAAATTTCGGCGGTCGACGGTCGGGGGCTTTCATTCGGTGGCTGGCTTCGGCGATTCCAAACTTTCTCGGGCAGCCCGAGGCCGAAATCTTGCTTGATCGGGCAGCCTTATGGGCTTGCCTGTCGAGCCCGAAAAATTGGGGCTTCAGGCAAGCCTGCCGACCCAAAATTTCAGTATTACTTTTCACTCGCATTTTTATTTATACTTCATTTTTACTCATTTAAAAACCTCCACACGTGTACTTTTTATATGTGTCCCAATTTGAATTTTGAGAATAATTAATTTGCATTAGTGCAGTTAATGTTAAGATAAATAAATAAATTCAAACTGATATTTGGGTACGTATAAGTGTGGGAAAGGAAAGAAGCTCTAATTTTTCATTATTGATATTTTCGTTTGGTTGGAATTTGTGAAGATCTAGCACCCGCTTAAGTACTTTGTTGCACGTGAGTGCCCAACTAATCGATAAAGGGAGGCATATATTATAAATAAAGACTTATCATCTTTTCTCATGAAAGAAAGGGACGTATGTATAATTAAGTACACGTGATAGAAAGGCCCTTTTCTCGTGTTTTAATAAATTTAAGCAATGCTATTACTTATTAAAGTGTCATTATCAACATTGTCTTACATCACTGAATGCATTTCAAGTTAACCAATGGGCCGGATCCATACATATCAAAAGCTTTTAGGTTAGAAAAATCACAACATAAAAGGTGTGTTATAAGATCTAGAACTTGTTTGATAGGGGAAAAAAATCGAAAAAGCTAGAGTAGTTGGAGGATTTTAAAACATATCGATGCTATTTGGAATTGTTTTCAGTTATTTTTGAATACATTTTTGTACTTTTTTTTTGGTAAAAAAAATGAAAATAATCTGTAAATCACATTTAGTTAGTAAATACTTTAAAAACGAGAATGAAAACAAATAGTAGTGAGAATTGTTTTTGTTAAGAAAATAGAAAATGGTTAAGAGTTGTTTTTTCTCTCTTTTTTTTTTTTTCATTTCCATTTACTAAGGTATAACTTAATACACATTTTTAAAAATATATTCAAATACAGTTTTACTTTTTTTTTTATACTAAAACAATCTCTAAGAAAATAACCAAACAAAATTTTGAAAAATAATCTCAACACCATTCTCAAAAAATTCTTATTTCCATTTTCATACTCAAAATAAAATTATTTTTAAAAACATTATCGAACAGTCCCCGTTATTTGATAGGAGGGAAAATAATAGAGAATTGGTTGGAAACAGACTCTAAAGCAGAAACACGTACTAAATACTATAAGATAAAATGTTATTCATCTCTTCGAATTCATTTTCCTTGCCTATATTATATACACACACATTTTTTTTCCTTATTTTCTCCTGTACTACCTTATTGATTAACCCATGTTCTGGTCCATAATTACTTTTGAGAATAAAAATTGTTTAATTTCCTTATAAATCTTAAACAATCACTTTTAAATCATGAGAAGTTATACTTGTTTTACTGTTATGCTTCTTTGATGATTTAATTTGTTTTGTTTTTGTTATATTTTCGTTTTCTTTTGTTTGTGGGCTCTTTTTTTTCCCCCCTCTTTTCTTTTTCACAGATATCAATTATTTTACGCCACTGTCTTGTCGGATAACGAAAGAGACAACGACTGGCACTTCTCTCGAAAGTTTCAGGCCTCGAGTTATATGTACTTAAAGCTATGCATTGCTGATTGCACTCTTCTTCTAACAAGTTGCCTGCTTCTTTCTTCTCACTACGGGGATTTGGTATATTTATATGAGAGATCTTTCTTATACTAACAAGTTGCCTGCTTCTTTCTTCTCACTACGGGGATTTGGTATATTTATATGAGAGATCTTTCTTATAGTGTTGAGGTTTCAAATGGCAGCTTATGACAGAAACAGAAGGTTAATTCACCAGTGAAAGTAGTAAAAAAATATATATATATATATGATGGATGAAAATTTTCAGTTAATAATTCATATCAAAAGCTCACAATCATACGAGTGGAGAGCTAGTTCGGCAAGGAGGTTTTGTGTTCAAACTCATGTATTTCTATCGATCATCTCCAATTCTTTGTTATGTAAGTTGTTTTTCCCATCTCAAACAACAATGTTAATTATATTTTAGTAATTAATCCATCATCTTCTCTCTCTTTTCCTGCTTTATACTTAAGAGCTCATCAATATTCTTCGTACTGGAATAACTAATATATATATATATATATATATATATATATATTTGTTGAAGGGAGACACACAAAGAACAAAAGCTGGTGGTAACCGTTAACCTTGATGCTGTTTGGAATTGAAGGATTTTAAACTTAAGACTCCAATAATTTGTTCAATAATCCTTGGTTACCTAAATAGGGGTTTTTTTTTTTTTTTTTTTTTTTTTTTTTTTTTGGAGGGGGGTGGTGGGGAGTTAATGGTTACCTAAATATAGTTAATGGCAAGTTTGTTTTATATATTCAAACTCAAATTATTGATTTTGTTCAGTGTTTTTTTTTTCAAAAAAAAATTTAAATTTCAAATGTCAAATCAAGAATCGCGATTTGAGTATTCCTCTCAAACGGACCTTAAGGGCCCGTTTAATTCGCCGATTCGAGTTTTTAATTCGAATTGAAATGTGACTTTATATGAGAGTTTTTTACTATAGTAAAAAGTTAGATGTGATTGTTTCTGATAGTTTTTTACTATAATAAAACTCGAATTATAAACTCGAATCGATAAAATTTACGGGACGTAAATTTATAAATATTCAAGCCACCCTCTTTTTTTTAACATTTTTTTGACGTGTCTTCTTATATTTCCTCGTTTTCAGGGGATAATCCTCTTATATTCTGTGTTCATACTATTTGATTGACGTATTATTCGTCAGGGTATTGAATGTGGACCACTGAATCTAGACGCAATCTAGGGGAAAAGGGAAGCAAACTAAACATGGTTGTCTCTTGATTCTCACTTAGAGGCCCGCCTAAATTAACCTCTAAAAGGGGGTTTTGGGTTTGGTGCGGATAGCGTCCAGGTTCAATGAATCGGTTATGCTTCATTTTATCTATTCTTTTGACTTTCACGACACGTTTGTGTGGTGCTGTTTAATGGTACCAAATCCTCAATGGGGAACTGCAAATTGCAAATCCAACGCGTTACGCGTAATAAATGGTCAAGATCAGTTCTACAATCTGTCCAGGTTCAATGAATCTTGCTGATTTCTATATTTTTTTTTCTTTACATCATACATGCATAATACATATATATTTACCATAATGTAAAGCATGATGCATGGAATCATAATTAAAAACAAAATGTATGACAAACCAGCCATGTCGTATTCTTGGTAAACACAATCATTTTTATTTTTCAAATTTAGAAGGGAGAAATCAAAATACAAAAGTTAATATTAAATAGCAAGTAATGACCACTAGATTTAACCATATAGATAGGGTAAATGAGGCTTAAATTGAGAAAGGTGCGAGTTCAATCTTATTTGTACAAATGAATATTAAATAGTTATTTAATATTATAAGTTAAACTCGTAAAAAATAAATTATTGATAGTTCTCTATTTTTAGCCATTATCAGAAATTATTTTATACACTTTTCCAATAAAATCTAATTTTGAGCCAATCTAACGGTCATAAATTGACACTGTCAGAAAAATTGACCTACTAAAGAAACTCTAAAAAAAACGAAGTGACTATTGTAAAAAAATAAAATAAAATAAAAAGAAAACTTGAAACTTCTGTTGTTTACAAATGTGACAACTAGAAAAAAATTTTAAACATTGTAATTTGTGGTCTTTGTAAAAGAATAACGTGATCAATGGTTTATTTTTTAATATTCCGGACTTGTGACTTCCTCGAAGGTCATTAGTAGTAAACATATATATTAATTGCTAGCCAATAGACCATAAGTGACCAGTTCATAATGATTAATTAATTAGTATCATTGGTAGTTCTCAGTTTCAAATCTTTGATTTACACATATTCTAAGTCAAAACCACAAGAATTGGCTGGTAGAAAAAGTGCGAAGCCACAAAAATTGACTGAATTGTTTTCCAGCGAGGAATTCGCAGGACTTCCTAGATGATTCGTAGTTTTTTCTTTCTTTGGGAAAGTCATACATAAAGATTTTTCTTGACGTTATTATCATATTGATAGTTTGTATTAGTTTTAATTACGAAAGAATACCTCTAATGCTATAAAAATTATAGTAGTATCTGATACAACTGAGTAGTGATTTAAGATTTGAATTTTGATGATTTTATTTTGTTAATATAGTGGAAATTATAGTTCACACATGTCAACAATATATATAATTCAACTGAATTGAAATCTATTATAATTAGAGAGATGGGCATGAATCACGCATGAATCACGCCACATCCATGGATTAATACATAACATTCATACATACACGCACGGCCATTGTATGCACAAAAATGGCATTAAAAAAAAAAAAAAAGAAGGCTTCCTACGTGGCATTCTTGTGGGCCACCACTGGTCGGGCTACAGTTATCTCCTCCACCGATAAGTAATCCCTCCTCTCTAACTCGACAATCCCTCCTTATAACCAGAGACGCCTTTAGGGAGAGAGAGAAAAGACGGTGCAGGCAAGAGAGGAGGAGAGAGAGAGAAACAATCCAACGAAATCAACCGTGAAATTCTCTCTCAAGGGCTAAACCCTTTTCGCCGTTTAGCTTCCCTCTCTTCGTTTTTCTCCTTGTCATCGTCGTTGTTCGCTCTTCGATTTCTCGCTCTCTCTGCTTCAGATCGCTAGGGATTTCTTCTCCGCGGATTCATCTTGAAGTTTTTTTTTTCCCCGGAAAATTTTCGAGATTTCCTGTAAGTATTCTGTGAAATCTCTGGGCATCTTTCTTTTCTTTGTTTGTTTTGGTTTGTTGTCACGCGGTTTGCGTTTATCGCGTTAAAGTGGACAATGCCGGTGATTTTCTGTCACGCTGTATGATCTGCCCCGTTTGTTTGGCTGCTGGGAAAAAAGAGTTGAAGGAAAATTAGGAAAAAAGTTTTATTGTCTTATTTCCTCGTCGTTTGTTTGTTGTTATTCGGAAAATTTAGCTCCTTGCTCTCAAGATTATCAACTTTCTTTATTTGCTTTCTCAGATTTTGCTATGGATGAATCTCTTTTTTTTTCTTTTTTTGTTTCCTTATTTTCGTAAATTTATTTGCAATTAAAAGTAGAAGTCAAATCAACATTGGTGGTCGTTTAGTTATTTTTCCTTATCCATGTTGGATTTTGACTCGAAACGTTTCTCTGCGTTCTCTGTTCCCGTTTCGGTTTATGGGGACAGGTTTAATGCAATACTTTTAGGGTTTCGTTTTTATTTTCTTCTGACGCACAAAATTTAATTCAGCTAGATTACTAATTAAGCAATCTAGTTTTATTTTCCCTTTATCCTTTGAAGGGATTTTTAAATGAATTTTTAGGCTCAGAAAACTCTAATAGGTTGCTTGGTCGTAAGATGTGAAGCTCAATTGTGTATTTTATTGAATTGTTGAACCAAAAAGTCATTTGATTTATCCAAAGATGCTAAAGCAAATGGTGGGACAGCATTTAATTCGTTATTCCCGTTGGAGCTTTATCTCTTTTTTGTGAATATTCCTTTTGGGGGCTTTGAGTGAACCCTTGATTTCCAGTTATGTGCTTATTGACTATATTTTATTGTGGTAATAAATTGCTGATAAATGTAATTTTTCAGGAGTTATTCAATCATGGTATTCTGGGTTTTTGGATACGGTTCACTTGTATGGAACCCTGGATTTGAATATGACGAGAAAGTGATAGGTTTCATCAAGGACTACAGGCGTGTTTTTGATCTGGGTAAGTTTATTATTGGTATTCATTAATTAAAGAAGCTTCTATAAATCCTTTCCATGTCTGGGCATTATTCTTAGTAACAATTTTTGTTTTCTCTTTTTCGTTTTCCATTGCAGCATGCATTGATCACAGAGGTACACCTGAACACCCTGCACGAACTTGCACGCTGGAGTACACAGAAGGAGCTATTTGCGTAAGTACCAAAAGAATACTAAACTTGTGTTTTGTGTTTAAGTATCTGTATGTAATATATAGGTAGTGCAAAACATCGATTTGTAGCGGTGTTCATTAATGAAATTCAATTGTGATTGGGTAACTATATCCTGTTTTTGCACCTTTTCTTTCCCTGTATGGATCAGTTATTATTTGTTTCTGAATTGGTAATTTATAACAGTGGGGTGCTGCCTATTGTGTTCGCGGTGGCCCTGAAAAGGAAAAGAAAACCATGGAGGTATGCCTTTTAAGTGATTCAGTTTTTGCTTAACTTGTTGGTTAAATCGCTAATGGATTAGTTTAGTTGAAAGATGAGTATATAATAAGCCCTAAAATAGGAAAACGGAAAAGGAAAAACGATTCCAGAGCATTTTCTCATTTACTTCAGAAAATATGAAAACTTTTTTTTTTTTGGTGCTAAATAAACGCTATTTCAAGATCATTTCCAAAACGCGTTTACTGGACCTACAGATCTTTTCAACAAGGGTACTAAACAGCCCCCTAGTTTTCTTTTTTTTCCCCCCTTTCTTTGATTAATTACTTAGAGGTGTTTGGTTGTTCAAACATGAAGTGCGCTTGTAAAGCCGCCCCTAACCCAAAACTAGACCTGCTTTTTACTCTGTTCCTGCATGTATTCTAACATCAACTTTTTTTTTTTCTTTTTATTTTGTTTTAAATATTAAAATCCTCTTTTCCATCATTTTTTGTAGTATTTGGAGCGAAGAGAATGTGAATATGATTCAAAGACTCTTGTGAACTTTTACAAGGTGAGACGGGGTTTTGATTTTACATTAACTTCGCTCTTGGACTGTTGATTAACATCAAGAACGGTTGTATACTTAATTTCCGAGCCTTTTTTTTTTCCTTAATTAGGAAGAAGACTCGTTGGAGCCTACTTTGACCGGAGTTATTGTGTAAGTTTTTAATTCTCTGTTTTTATTTTTCGTCAATGCAGTATAGGTTGCAAATGTTACACGGACACATAAGTATTATCCTTTTTTTATTCCACTCACATGTGTTCGTTGAATATGCAGTTTCACATCCACTCCAGACAAAGAATCAAACAAATACTACTTGGGGCCTGCTCCATTGGAGGAAATGGCCAGGTAAAATAAAAGAGTTTTGCCTCCTCTTTATCTTTGTTTTGTTGCCGATCGTGCTATGTTCTGGTCAAATATTTGTCGTTGACGTAGTCTTATATATGTTTTCAGTCAAATTGCAACTGCCCATGGGCCCTGTGGAAATAACAGAGACTACCTTTTTCTTTTAGAAAAGGCCATGTTTGATATTGGTGAGTTCTCTTTCTTTACGTCATATTGACAAATACAATAGAGAGAGAAAAAGGAGTGCTCACTTACCATGACCTGCTTTTTATTTCCATCTTTATCTGCTTGGACATACAAGTCAAAGCGACAAACCTTTTCACTTAATTAGGCAGGCGATTGAGATGTTAACTGTGTTTATTATATTGACTATTGGGTAGGCCATGAAGAGGACATGGTGATAGAGCTTGCAAACGAAGTGAGGAAGGTACTTGGAAAGGGAAATGGAATTTTGATTGAGAAGAAGTTGGAGAAGAAGTTGGCGGCGCAGCCCCATATCCCACACAAAGACAACATTCCCGGCCTTCAATTGCATCCTCTTCCAGAAGCCATTGCCATGGACTCATGATAAGAGAGAAAGCAAACAATATAGATAGAGGATAAGCGTGGAAGCCCGGCACATTATAGCGCGTTTCTAGTTCAACTCCTGTTGATTTATCGTATAAGAGAACATCTTCTTTTCCCTAATTTTCCATTAGCTCATTACTCTCGGTTTTTGACGGTGCAACCCTCCAACCTTACATGGATTAGGTTTGAGTGCTGCATGCACTTTTCTTAGAAGTGAAATGAATGACTAACAACATTTGTTTTGTTCTTATGTTATTTTACCCACAATACATGCGTATGCTTGTTGTAGTGAACTAAAGTGTTTAATCTCTTTGAATTTCTATTTGCTTGAATTTTCTATTTGCTTGAATTTTTAGCGATGATTGTTCATTGTCCTATCACGATTTTGTTATGCACAACAGCACAAGTCATTTAAACATTTCTGTACAAAATAAAGCGAATGATTATTAAAGTAATTTTTTGCTGGAAGATGATTAGAGTTGTTTAAACAAAGGAGCAAATAGACTTTTGCATCAAAGCAAAAGAAAGTGGAGTGCCCGGGGGTGATGGACTGCCGTGGGTTAAAGATTCCAGTGTTCGAATGTTGGGTGGCTCTATTTAAAAGTCTTTTAAGGTTTATTCAAGGGATACTGGAGTAGGGGTTCAGGGAGCTTTTTTGTTCTTCAGTTTAGTTGTCTTTTTTGGTCATTTTACTAATTGATGGGGTGCCTTTATAGTTACGTGGGGTGTGAATAAAATTTCCCCTTTTCTTTTGAGGGTTATAGCATATTTGGAGTTAGTCATTGGAAAACATGGATCTTCTCTTGTATGTTAACATACTAATAAGTTAGGTTCTCTGTGTGTCAGATCTACATAAAAGAATGTAAAAATTAAAAAGTATGTAGATGCAACAGTTAGAAAAACCTGACATACCGGTACACTAAATGTACAGAAAATCTCCTTGAAAAATAAAGTAGAAGTCTTAATATGTAGAAACTAATAACACATTCTAGACAAAATGACCAAACTACCTTACCCTATCTCTCTTCTCGCTCTATCTCTGCGTCTTCTCCAGTGAAGCTCTTCTTCTCCCGAGCTGACTCTTTTTTTACACCAATTTACGAGGCAGCGATATCTTCTAACATTTTCAGACATCGAAGCTACTCAGAACAAATGCTAACTTATTATTTATGTCATTCTAAATAATAAGATGTTATTGTATCCTTTTGTTTTCTTCTTATTAATTGATGGGTTAATTCCACAAACAGTCCTTAAAGTTTACACTCAATCCCACTTTAATCCCTGACTTTTTAAATATCGCATAGATGGTCTTTAAAATTTTATTTTGTTTCAATTTCGGACCTTCTATCAATTACGCATTAAAATTTAATAAAATCAATGAAAATTAGAGTCCAAATTAAAAACAACTAAAATTTTATGTCAATATGTGAAAATTAACTATTTGTTTAGCCAAAACCCTCCTCTCAAAGCAAAAACCCTTAACCGGTAACCATACATATAAAACACACATATACATACATATAGATTATACATACATATAAAACACACATATACATGCATATATATTATACATACATATCTGAAGAAGCCGAAGCCAATGAAACTGTAAATCCGCCATGATTAAACTCCAGATAGGCTTCTTTTCGGCCACGAATACCGTCACTGTTACTTCCTCTTCTTCTTCAGCTCTGCAAGTCCGCTCCTTCATGGCTAAGGTTCCTAATCTTCCTCTCATTTCCATTCTTTCCTTCCTCTGTTTTCTCGTTTCGTTTCAGAAGTTTCTTTTTTCAATTTCGTGTCTTTGTTTATTTCTTATTTGTCCTATTAATGGCGGGGATTGGTAAGAAAACCAAAGAAAAAAGTTTCGTTTTTCTTTTGGCTGAAAAATGGGCTCTTAATTTATTTGTAATGGTTTCCTTGTTGTAATGTTCATCTCGGCTAGGTTAATTGTTTTAAAGCACTTTTTTTTAGATGTCGTTGAATGAAATTGGAGTTTCAATTTGTGAAATTTGAAGTATTTTGATTTTCAATTTATTGTTGAAAATTTGCTACTTTTATCTTAATATGTTTATTGTTAGCTGCATTATTCTTCTTCTAATTAGTATTTTATCTAAAAATCCATGTCTTTAGGTTACTGTTAATGAAGAGTGAGAACTTCAAGCTGAGTCTCATTTTTATTTTATTTTTCTTGTTTTATTTTTATTTTTTTTTTCTATTGTAGAATATAGGAATAGTTTAGATAATCTCAAAAGTTCCATGCAGTGGAACCCTACCAAACATTGGTTTAGTTACGTTGACCTTTGTTTCTTCAGAAATAAAGCAAACAAAAAACAATGACAATGTTCTCTTAACCTGTTGTTTAATGTTTCAGAGTGATCCGGTGCTGTTTGTGTCTTTAATTGTAATTGTTTTTCATGGTTTAATGTTCGACACTAGCTATGTTGTTCTGAAGCAAATTTTTTAACGACGTTGGATAATTTGGTGTTTCAGCTGAAGTTAACGGCACTTCATAACTGTACAGAAATTGCGTACCATGTTCATCATTTGGGGCTGGTAACAAATGTAGAAAATCTGCTTTAATTAGGTTTAAAAACGAAAGATATCCTTGCACATTGAGGACCGAACACACAAAAGTAGAACCGCGAACCGCAACCCCTAATAGTGCTCTCAGGAAAGAATGGTGGGGTGAAACCTCCGTAAAAACCAACCTTTTAGACAGAACAACGTTCTCAGGAAAGACTGGTGGCCTAGAACGCTAACAGGAACCAGCCTCCTAGACGGAACTTTCTTAGTCTATACTTTTCTATGTTTTCACAAAATTACTTGAAAATTTTATTACATTTTATGACGTGTTGTATGAAATGTTAAATGTTAGATATTAATACCCTAAGTTGTTACTATTCTAAAACTTAAAGTTATACAAATTATGACGAATTAAGAGTCCTAACTTAATGTCTAAATTAGTCACCTAAAAGTTTTAACTTAAAAATTAAGACTAATTATTATAACAGAAAATTAAAAGCAAAAATAAAACAACAAGCATTAATTAATGATAAGAATAAAAACAATCACTATAAATAAAATAACGCCAAACTTTTTTCTTTTGAAAGTGAATAAAAAAACGGAAACTAAAGAAAATTAATCAAATACTACTGACATACAGAATATAACATAAAACTACTAAAACTTTACAGAAACAAAAAAAAAAAATTAAACACAACTAATGATTACTAACACACAAAAACACAAAACGCACACACTAACTAATGATTTCTAATATAATATTAAAGTAATAGAATTGAAAAGTACTTATTATATACACTAACTAATGAAGAAACTGACCACTAAGACACAAAACTCAAAGAAAACGAAAATAAAATATACAAATTAATGACACAAATGTATTTGGCAAGGCTTGAATTATGGACACAACTAAACAAAAAAATAATAGTCATGTTTAGAATTGATTCCGTTTTTATTTTTTTACGTTTTTTAAGAAAGAAAAAATGAAAACGTTCTTAAAATGATGTTTGGTGTAATAAAGACAAAAAATAGAAAGGAAAACGATTTTTTAATTTAATATAAAATGAAAGAGAAATAAAAAATGAATTTTAGTCATTTTTTATTTTTTATTTTCGTTTCTCCCATATCGAGTGGAGAGAGAGATAGAGACATTTTTAATTTTTTTATACTAAAAATAATATCTTAATAAAACTACCAAATATATTTTTAAAAATAATTTCTGTATGAAATTAAAAACATTTTTATTTTCATTTTCATATAAAAAAAATCATTTTTTTAAACGCGCCCAATGATGAGTTTAAACGCGCACACTAATGAGGTTGAGGAGTTAAATCAAAGGAAAAGGCAAAAGGCTTCGAACGGGCATGTAAAAAGTAAAGGCTGCAGTTGTAGAAAGTCAATTTTTTTTTTTTCAAACGTGCTAAACAAAACAAAACAAATATAAATAAATGAAGATTAAGTACCTACCTCTTTAGTTAATTATTTATTGAACAATCTTCTTATTTCATCTCTCTGATAATGGCGTTAAAATTTGATTATGCCTAAACATGTCGAAAATAAAGCGGTCGCGATAGCACAGTTAGAGCGGTCGTATCCACAATGAGAAGACACATTTAACGAGAAACGATTAACAAATAAAAAACGTTAGGAGATAAATAATAAAATAAAAATAAAAGAAAATGAAATATTTGTTGAGAAGTTTAAGCTTAAAAAGAGTATATGAGAAAACTATATAATTAAAACCGGTAAGGTGTCGAGATTCCCCTATATGTTTTGTTCACCCGAATGGATTTTGATTTTTGAGATTACTCAATTGAAAGTTTCACATCTCAAAATAACAATCAGAAAATAAATATATGAAGAACGTGTGAATTAAAATGTATTCGAGTGAGTAAAATTCTTACGTTAAAATTATCTTATAAGAAATCTAAAAGCGACAACATACCTCGAAGTAATATTGCAGTAGAAGACTACTCACAAAATAATACTATTGATATAATTATATTGAGCAATAATTACATAAAAAGAGCATGACTAAATTCATATAAAAGTTGACAACAAAATATATCATTTTGAGAAATTAGACAAAGATAGAAGAAAATTAATCACTCAAATTAATAAACTTTAGAGAATAAATGAAGAATTAAAATCCACTTAAGATCACTTTACATATAGGTTCCTCTCTAATCTCACCAAAAAAACTTTAACCTAACTTACACATAATTTCCACAAAATTTTAAAGAAAAATATGAGAATAAAAGTAAGAAAAATTAAAATCAAAGTGTCTATACTTAAGCTAAAAATCAACAACCATTAACCTTCATAATAGCCTTATTTATAGAGTTATTGGGCCCTGCCAAAAGTTACGACATCGACAAAAATAATAAAGAAAATAAAACTGAAAACGTTTTCTTATTTAATTAAGTAAAAACTGATAAAGTAGAGGGAGAAAATCAACAAAAACGGTTTGGAACGAAAGAAGAATCCCAAGTGCATGGACACGTGTCATGAAATGGAAGGGGAGCAGATGAAAAGCTGTGCGCGGCGGAACCTTTGGGTTTCTTGAGGCTGTCTTGCGCACATGATCTGGACTCGGCAAAGAGAACTTTCACACGAGGAAAGCAAATTGTGGCTTGACTTGGGCTACAAGTTTCTTGGGCCAAATTGAACTCTTTTCTTTTCTGGGCTTTTCTTAAAAGTGGGGCTTTGCTAGCTTTGTGGCCCAGTTGTGTTTGACGCTG